TTCCCTTTGAAAGCTCTCTTTATCTCCCTTTGAAAGCAAACTTCTACCTTCCAGTTCCCGTCATTATCTATTCTCATTGTTTATTCAAATCTCTCAGACCTTCCAAATGGAATTTCCACCTGGACCCTTTTTCTTAACCACCTCCCCCTTCAACTGGCCTTTCATTGTGGCTACACCCAATCTCCCTTCCATTGTTTTGCCTTCCTATGACCCCTAGCCATTTCCCACCTTTAATCCTAGCTAGGTGACCACGAGGTCCAGGACTCAGGAATTCTGTTCACCCCAGCCTACTAGCCACTCCCATCCAGACCTCCTTAGGCCCTTCCTCCTGGCACCCCAAACTACTTGGCCACTCCTAGATCCCTCCCACAGTCTTTCTGTACTTAAGATTCATCTTTGCCCCCATTCTGATGCTGAGAATCTCTCAAGCCCAGAGGCTGAGATTTTCTCATGCCTCTCATCCTTACGGGCATCACCTGGCCTCCCCCATTCACATGCTGAGCTTTTCTCATGCCCAAAAGGCTGAAACTGTCTCATACCCGCTCATCCTTACGGGCATCACCTGACTTAAGATCCACCTTTGCCCCCATTCTGACACTGAGAATCTTTCAAGCCTAGAGGCTGAGGTTTTCTCATGCCCACTGGCCCCCATTCAGATGCTGAGAACCTCTCACACCCAGAGGCTGAGACTCTCATGCCCATCCTTACGGGTCTCTGATGTTTGGGTTCCTTGGGAGTCTGGCCTATATGCTTTATCTTTAATAAACTATTTCTCTGGCTGGAAGAAGATTTGGGTTGAATTCATTCAGGCAGACCCAGCCCCATGATCTTGGGGTGCCTCTGTGCATCTAGGAGCACCTGAAAATCCCTACACCTCTTCATGTGATTCCCTGCCCGGGAAATATGCCAATCTCAAACTTCTCCAGCCACGACTGAACGGTATGCAAGTCTTGCCCTCCCCAACTCCTTTGTTGTCTTGTGGCTGGGAGGGGGATTTCCAAGCAGCTAGCTAGGCTTGGCTTGGAAGTGTTTTTTGGACCTGACCTCTCGGGTCCTGCTAGGTCTGACAGCTACAAGGCTGTCTCGATCTCTGCCTGTCGTTCTCAGGCTTTTGGTCCAGTGTTTCTGTTTGAGCACTAGGACCTGGGGACCTGACCTCTCAGGTCCTGCTAGATCTGACAGCCACAAGGCTGTCTCAACCTCTGCCTGTCGTTCTCAGGTTTTTGGTCCAGTGTTTCTGTTCAAGCACTTCGACCTAGGTATACCTTCCCTGGCATAGAGGACGGACTCCCTATCAGGAAGCATATGGTCCAATTCTCTCAGTTCTCTCGGCGCTAGGGAATTGGGAAACTGTGGGATATTTTTTTTTCTTTTTTTCTCTTTTTCTTTTGCCCTAAGCCCACCATGGGTCAATTCTCTTCAATTTCCAAGAATTAGCCTTTGGGCTATCTTTTACAAAATTGGAAAAATTTTAGCTTTTCTAAAGGACTTAGAAAGAAAAAGCTGGTATATTTATGCAACACCGTTTGACCTCAGTATCACTGGAAAATTATGAGGCATGGCCCCTTTTTGGGACATTATGGGTAAGGACCCTCTCAGAGTTAGAAAAATATTGTCGCAGAGAAAGAAAATGGGTGGAGATTTCTTATTTAATGGCTTTCATTGAGCTGTCTAGAGACCCCATTCTGAGAAAGGATTGTAAAATGCTCGTAGCTACAGCCACCCCTCTAATGGGGAGTGGGGATCAAATAGACCTTTTGGATGATCCTCTTCTTATGCCTCCTAGGGCTACGGCACCTCCCTCTTCCCAACCTCTGTCAGCACCACCCCGCCAGCAACTATCTCCACCCCCTTCTCCTCTGGCCTCCCCGGCTGCTCCCCATTCTCCCCAAACCCTTCCTTCTGCTCCCCATTCTCCCTTGACCGCTCCTTCATTTCCCTATTCTCCCCTCCCCCCCTTGTTTCCCATGCCCGCTCCTCCTTGCCTATCTCCTCTTTCCCTTGGTTTTCCTTACCTTTTCCTCTGGCTCCTCCATTTCCTCCCCAGGTCCCTGCTCTAGAGGCTACTTTTACTCAGGCCTTGAGCAAGGGCCTCACTCCAGCCTCTTCTTCCAAAGAGACCCCTGCTCAAGTTCTGGACAAGGTTCCCAACTCGGTGCCTCCTCCCCAGACCTCTACTTCTGATGGGACGCCTGCTCAGGCTTCAGACAAGGGTCTTGCTTTGGTGTCTCCTCCCCTGACCCCTCCCCCTCCTCCAGTGTCAGGTAATCTTTCCCCTTGCCAGCCGGACTCCTCAGCCTTGCCAGTTCAGCCAACACTCCCCAGTCCCTCAACCCCCAGAAGTGGGACCTCTTCTCCCCCTCCCCTGCAAGCCCCTGCTTCTGCAGGGCCTTCAGGGCTTTTTTCTTAAGGGAAGTACCTGCTTCACCTAATGGGATACTTAGGATACACATTCCATTCTTTATCTCAGACCTCAACCAGATTAAGGAAAAGCTAGGTGGGCGTCACCTGGCCTATATGTGATTTATCTTTAATAAACTTTTTCTCTGGCTGGAAGAAGATTTGGGTTGAATTCATTCAGGCAGACCCAGGGCCACAATCTGGGGCTTTTCCCAGCATCCCAAAACCTCTCGCGATCTTGGGATGCCTCTGCATGTAGGAGCACCCCAAAACCCCTACACCTCTTCACTTCCACCTTCCAGTGTCCCTCCTGGGAGCGGTGGAAGAAGAGTTGAAGTCTTTGTTTGCCCCCCCCCCCCATGCCCAACATTCCACCTCCCCACTCCTGCAATGTTCTCCCTCCTCCCCTCTGACTCAGAAAGTGCCTGATTTCCTTCAAGACTCAGGGCACCTTTCCAGATCCCCCTCCCCACAAACTGCTTGGATTTATTTCACATTTGTTCTGCATGTGCTTAGAGAGAGGTTCACGGCATCTCTTCCATGAGGCAGGGAGCGGTTCATTTCTGACCTTGTATGGCCAGTGCTTGGCCCACAGCAGGCTTACTTCAGTGCTTACTGGCTGACTGATCCTACGGTCCAGTCACAGCATCCCAATAGTTAGGAGAAGAGCCAACATCATCAGCGCATGGCGCGTGGAGAGACCAGACTCACAGTCTCCCCATCCCTGGGAGCTGGGAGAGGGAAGGGAGGGAACACATGCTTATAGAGCACCTACTATGGCCAGGAGCAACACTTAACAAGTATCACTTCATTTGATCCTCACAGTGACCTACCTAAGCAGTTTCTTAAGAGAAAAGAGACTGCTTTGCTTGGAGCCTGTTTGTGCCTGATGTTTCCTGGATGTTATCACACATTGGGACAGGCAGGTGGCTTGGGGGATAGAGCGCCAGGACTGAGGACAGGAAGACCTGAGTTCAAGCAAATCCAGCCTCAGATGCTTAGTAGCTGTTGTGTGACCCTGGACAAGTCACTTCACCCTGTTTGCCTCAGTTTCCTCATCTGTAAAATGAGCTGGAAGAGGACCTGGTCAACCCCTTCAGAATCTGCCAAGAAAACCCCAAATGGGATCACAGTCTGACACGACAACAAAAATCGTGCATTGGTCAATTTCCCAGTTTAACTTTCACTAGCCTTAGGGGTCCAGGGATTTGTGAACACTGGATTTGAAAGGGTAATAGATCATAATGGCTAGTATTTAGACAGAGTTCTAAAGTTTGCAAAGCAAACTCTATTTGATTTTCGCCACAGCCCTGGGGGGTATAATTATCCATGTGTTACAAATGAGGAAACTGAGGCACAGAGAAGGTTCCCACAGAGAGCTACAAGTGTAGAATTCACATCCAGGTCTTCTCAACACCAGGTCCAGGGCTCACCCCAAAGACAAGGAGTTGCAAAAATGTGCCCAAAGCAATGGAAGTAGAGGGGTGGTTGGTTAGGTGGTCCACATGCACTTACTAGGCACTGGACTAGGCACCAAGAGAGGCAAAACCAGCCCCTGCTCTCAGACAGTAGTTAGGGATGGAAGAGCTCATACATAGGGAATGCTCAGGATGTCTATAACTGCCTGGCATCTGTCTACGCTGCACATTTTCTGTCCATTCCTACATGAGTTGTTCCACTGATCCAAAGGAAGTTCCCTGAGGGCAGGCGCTGTTTTCATTCTCTGTCTTTGGATCTGGCAAGCTACCTGACCTCCCTTGGCCTCAGTTTCCTTATCTATTAAAAGGAGTTGGACTAGAGGCTCTCTGAGGCCCTGGGTCCCAGGGCTCAGTCCAGTGCATGTCCATATTAAGGGCAGATTGATCAATATTAACACATCATTATTCATAGTTGGGATGGAATCCTGGCTTCTGACCTTACTCCCTATCTATGTGACTTAGGATATGTCACTTGACCACCCTGGGCCTCAGTTTCCCCCTCTGTAAAGGGGGTTAACCTAATGCTCACGATTTGTGAGCTCTTTGGGGGCCCGGGGCTGTCTTGTACGGACTGACCACACTCTAGGGCCCCTTTTCACACGGTTGTCATGGATACTTCCTTCTGCTCACCACCTCCCCTCTTTAAGGTAGTAGGTTGTCATTCTGCCCAGCCCATCCCCCCCCACTAGCCCAGCAGGGGGGCAAATTTCAAATTAGCAAGGGCGGGGCTGCGGAGGCCCCAGAACTTGACCCTGACTTGGGACAACGGGGTGCCATGCTTGTCACTCAGAACCTGGGCTGCCGCCCCGGCACCCTCCTGGGCCACTTGGGTACAGACACTGGGACGCGAGACGACCCGAGACCGAGCCAGGGAGCCGAGCACATTGTACACGTGGTGTCCTGGTCGAGGCCTGGGGGCGTTCTGCGCATGTCCCCAGGTGTTCCCTGAGAGGTGACAACGGGGGCAAAGGGAGAACAGCGCCGTTCTGCGCAAGTCCTGGGGACAGGTGGAAGGAGCCCGTGGCTGACATGTGACCCGCGCGGCCCGCCAATCCAGGCGAGACCCGAGGCCCCGCCCCCTGGCTACGCTCAGGCCCCACCCCTTAGAAACGTGCCACGGCCCAAGGATGGCGTAGTCCGGGTCCGCAGATTGGCCCGCGGGCGTGTAGCTTGTTCGCTAACTTGCTCGCTGGGCCGGCGGCGGACCGGCAGCCCGAGCTGGGGCAGGCCATGAAGCTGACCCGGAAAATGGTGCTGTCCCGGGCCAAGGCCTCGGAACTGGAGAGCGTGAGGAAACTAAACTGCTGGTGAGGGGGCGGGCCAGAAGGAGAGCACAGCGCATGCGTCCCTCCCCTTGCCCACCTGCCTCCCTCCCAGGGAGTAGGCAGAACTGCGCATGCGCTAAGCTGTGTGTGTGTTTGGGGGGGGGAGTGGCTGAACTGCGCGTGCGCCTCGCCATTGGCCTGGGGGTGGGGGGGACAGAGAGTGGGCGGGCCTCTGGAGCCCTGGTGCCTCTGGGTTAGGTTCGCATGTGCAGGATTACCCCGCCCCCAGCCCTAGGGTAGGCGAATGCCCTCCCCCATGGAACACCTGGATTTAAATACTACCAGAGACACTTCCCAGTAGTGTGACCCTGGGCAAGTCATGTCACCTGTCTGCCTCAGTTTTCTCATCTGGTGTCATGAGGATCAAATAAATCCTTGTAAAGTGCTTAGCACAGGGCTTGGCACAGCCATTATCATGGATCATGGAGCCGACTCATGGTTACACATTCTGCCCAGGTCACTGACCATGTCAGTGTCCATGGGGGGCTGAGCCTGGTACTGATCAGGGCAGGGGCTGGTCCTGGACCCCCGGCTGCCACCAGCCTTCTGGGCTGTCTTGTCACACGGAGCCAGGCGCTCAGGCCCGACCTTCGGGGGTCACACGGGTGGACAGTGCCCACCAGGCATTTGGGGGAGGGCTTGGAGCACTCCGCCTTCTCTGTTTTCTGGGAGTCCCTCGGCTGCCAGGCTTCTTCGTCTGCGGGGGGGGACTTCTTGGGCCACGGAGGCGCCCTCTGGGGCTCTTGGGTCAGCTGGGCCACATTTCTCAGGAATGTTTGGGGGGATTTAAAGTGTTTTTGGCTGCTTTTGAAGAAACCCCGTGTTTGTCTTTGTTCTTGTTTCCAGGGGCAGCCGCCTCACCGATGTAAGTGCTGATATTGTCTGACTGGGCCCTTTCCTTAGAAAGTGAATGGGGGGGCAGCTAGGTGGCTCAGTGGATAGAGCATCGACCCTGAAGTCAGGAGGACCTGAGTTCAAATCCAGCCTCAGACCAAACACTTGACACTTACTAGCTGTGTGACCCTGGGCAAGTCGCTTAACCCCAATTGCCTAAAAATAAAAAATAATAATAATAATAATGATAATAATAATGAAGGAAGTAAATAGAGCCTTTTCTCGGGGTGGGTGGGCACATCTTTCATCTGTGACACCGTAGTCCAGCCCAGGAGGGGGCTACTCCCCAGCCTTCCCGCTCTGGAATCTCCTTTGTTTATACGAGTCGTCTCCTCCCTGCAGTGGGGCCCCTGACCATCAGCAGCCCTGGGGTCCACCTGGCTACCCCAGCTTCCCCAGGGAGTCTCCCTCCTTCCGGGTCAAGCCCAGCCGGGGGGGCAGGAAAAAGTGACTGTGAGGCTCCACCCGGCTAAGGGCCCTGTCTGGCTGGTCAGTTAGGAAAGGGAAGAGCGCCCTTGGGGGCGGGTCCTCTTCAGCACAGCGTTCTTTGTGCTCCCAGATTTCCATCTGTCGAAGCTTGCCCAGCATCGAAGTGATCACACTCAGGTAGGTGCCAGAGCGTCCTCTGCCAGGGGGCCTAGGCTGCTGGACACTGCTGACCCTCCAGCTTGCACACGTACATACAAACATATATCCCCGCCAACTTGCCACCCCTACATGTACACAGCAGATAGACAGACATACACACACACACACACTTACATACAAACATACCTCCCGCACATGGCCACCCCCACATGTACAAAGCAGACAGAGAGAGAGACACACACACACACACACACACACTTACATACAAACATATACCTTCCCTACATGGCCACCTCCCCGTGTACACACCAGACAGACACATACACACACACATATACTTACACATGCATACAAACATATACCCCCCACATGGTCATTCCCCCACCATGTACACACCAGACA